TTAGCGAGGGAAAGAAAGGTGGGAGGAAGAGAGGTTTTAAAAACATATAAATGGCCCTAACCGGTTTGGCTCAGCGCATAGAGTATTGGCCTGCGGACTCAAGGGTCCCAGGTTCGATTCGGGTCAAAGGCATGTACCTTGGTTGCGGGCACATCCTCAGTAGGAGGTGTGCAAGAGGCAGCTGGTCGATGTTTCTCTCTCATTGATGTTTCTAACTCTCTATCCCTCTCCCTTGGGATGTTTTTAATGTGGCTTATCCTAAGTTTAAGTGCTAATACTATAAGCAGTTAACAAACACTGGTAATAAATATGTTATTGATAAAGGAAACTTATTATTTCATGGCAGAAGTAATATATTTTTTTAAAAATCAATAAAATATACTTTAAAAACATATAAATGGATGGATGGATGCAACTTTCTTAAATGCTTAAGCTCTTAAAGTAGGGTAAGAGGAAACAGGCAAGTTTTAACAAACAAGTTTCCTCTCAACCAAAGCACTGAGTGCCAACATACCAAGGTAGATGCTAGCACTGGAGGACCTGTAACCAAGGGAGGGCCAGCTGTGCCTCTGCTCCTAGGAGCCAAAACTGAGAAAGAAGGACTCACCCTCCCAAGAACAAAGCTGAAGGACAGGTTTCTCCCCAAAACGACCTGTGAAGCTGAGAGATGAAAGGAAAGTGGCCTTGAGAACTTGGTTGATTCTCAAGGGTTGTAGGAGTAGAAAGAAATGAGGAACTGGGTATGCTGACCTAAGCTGCCCAAGAGATTTCTTTTTGGCCTCAGAAGCCTAATGTGGTTGAGATTTAGTCAAGTCCTCAGGTGCCACCTTATACCCCCCTAGTTTGTCCCGTTTCAGCCAGGGAGACAGGTGACAGAAATGTGAAATGGTTTCCGAATAAGGCTGAACTTCTAAAAAGAGCCACAGACCAGGAGTGCCAGAGGACATGGAGGTAAGCAGTGCTTATCAGTGGGCTGCAGCAGCTAGTGCAAGCTAGACAAGAGGTGGGCCTTGAACATGCAGACTCTTTGAAATGATGAATAGCACAAGCAAAAATATATGGACAGGAAGGACCACGTGCTAAAAACATGGAAGAGTCCAGCTGCACTGGAGCAAGGGGCTGTGTTCAGAAAGAGGACCACCAGGGTAGATAGGAAGGGAAGACTTCATGCCGTATGGTGGGGAGCAGAGATGTTACACTGAAGGGAAATGAGGGGAACCACTGGCAGGGCTGAAGCAAGGGGAAACAACTTAAAGTGGGTGCTTTGTGCTTCACTGGGGCTGGGTAAATGAAAGCAGCTTCTCCTGCACTTGATAAATAGCACACACGAAGGATCCCTTGCTATTATTTTCCAGTCTGGGGATGGGATACACTAACACACCATTAATGTGTTTACCAATAATCTGATAGATAACACGAGTTTGAAATTCAAATAGCACAAAAGGTACTGAGTGAAAAGTCAGTCTTCCTTCTACCCTTGCCCCAGGCCCTCAGGTCTTCTAAGAGATAAATCAATTACATGTTTACCCAGCAAACTTGATTCAGTCATTTTATTTTTTAAAGGCAGCCTCACCTTTCTGGCCATAACCAGGCCGGACGGCTGGTGGGAGACCTTGAACACCACACCACCATTGCCAGCACCCAGCTCACTGATCTTCTCAAAGTCATCATCCTTCAGTTCCCCCACCTTCTGCTTCTGGGTAAGAAAGGCCTCAAGGCGCTTCCGCTGCTGCTCATCGAGCTCCAGCTCCTCCAGCTTCTTCTGCAAAGCCTCCAGGTTGGTCCTGTCACAAAGGGGAGAGCACAGGTCAATACTGTCACCAGAGAAGTCCACCCAATGGAAGAGGCAGGAGGGGAAGGTTCCATCACTATGCCTCTGCCCTCTTCACTCTGCCACCCTACACAATTTACCACTGACAAGGCCTCAGTTTCCTCATTTGTAAAACACGGGAATTAGGTCACTCTCAATATGCTGTGAGTCTGCAAGAGGAACCAAGGAAACTACTGAACTGAAGGTGACTCCAGAATGAGCCATCTTAATTTGCTTCAGAAGCCCAATTTCAAAAGCCCCACTAGTGTTGGTTGTATTAATTTGACACCATGTACAAAGTAAAATCTATTTCCTAAAAACACTAAACTGAAATCAAACCAAATCATCAAAAGAGGCTCTAAACTGAACCAGAGCAGTAGACATTCTCTTTTCCAATGGGATCAAGTCAGAAACCAGGTTAATCAAAATAAAGCAAGAAACCATAAAAAGATATACCTAATTTTTTTATTTTTGCACAATATATATAAATATACATTCGTTCACACATCTTTTAACATAGGGCAAGGCCCTCTCTTTGAGTAAGAGTCTGACATCATCTTTCTCACATGAAGCAGAACAATGTCTATCATTTCCAATTCCTGGTTCTTTAAAAAGAAATAAAAATGCAGACACAGAGTAATATTGGAATAAAATTCTAACAGTTTTATGATTTCCCCAATCTTAATGTTCATCTAATTGGAGAGTAATAATGTTTTTTAGTGACTTGAACTTGAGTCTTTCCATAGCTTTTAACTAGTGTTCACAGGAGGGAGAAAAAGAAAGAAAACCACCTCCTTTGCAGCCACATTTCATCAGTTTTTCCAATATTTAAATATATTACTTAATTACAAATACCAGCTAAAACTGTACAAATGGCTTTGGGAACAAACTGGTTCTTGGTAAGCACATAATTCAACCAGTGGGTGCTAAAGTGAGTGGGCAAGGCAGAGAGCAGCCTGCTAGCTGTGCATTCAGCATGCTGTGGGCATCACTGTTTTACAGAGAGAACTGAAAAATGTTCATTACTCCTGGGAGTTCGATAAGAGGGTGGTGAGGGGGGTGGTAAAGAGAGCTTCCACTGTTTCATTTTATTTCAGTCCTAGTCTAAACAAACACCACAGGTGACAAGACAGGCCATCATCACATACCAGAATGTTTGTGTGCCCCCCCACCCCCCTTACCCCCCCGCACGCACACACACACTCACACTCAGAGACACACCATTTCTGAGCTTAGAGGGTAGAAGCAAGTATAATTTCCTTTCTTTATTCACACTCTAGTCCAATCCACAAGAAGGCGGGAAGATGGAGACCTAATGCCTCCCCAGTGTATGGGAAGATCCAACACTGCTTTACAAATAACACAGCACATGGAGCCAAAGAGGACACAGGCTGAACTTACCAATTTTCCTCACTGGGAAACTCTGGGGAAGGAAAGCTGATGTTATGGATTGAATTGGGCCCCCCACCCTAAGTATGTTTAGAAATGGGACTTTTAGGAGGTAATTAAGATTAAATAAGGTTATATAAGTGGAGTCATAATCAGACAGAATTGGTGGCCGCCTTACACTCTTGCACACGTTGGCACTCTTATCTTAGAATTCAAGCCTCCAGAACTGTAAGGAAACACATTTCTGTTGTTTAAGCCACCCAGTCTGTAGTATTTTATTATGAAGCCCCAGCAGGCAAGGACGGCTGGTCAATATTCTCATTCTACTAAAAGGCTCAACTAAGTCTCAGCTGCCCCCAGACCCTCAGGTAGGACTTGGGACAGTGTGACTGGACTGCACTGTGCACACCCTCTGGTTTCCTTTCTTTCAGGTCTCTCCACAAAGGAGCCCATTGATGACAACATTTAGAAACACGTGTCAAATGCTGACCCCATTATCTAAAACTTAGTTGCTGTTACAGTTGCCTGGAGGGCTCATCAGGCCAGCTAGAAATGCAACTCCAAAAGGTATTGTCAAACACACATCCACTGAGTGGATATAGGGAAGAGAGGGAAGGAAGACTGTGTATTCTTCTGTTTCATATGCATTCATGCATTTAATCGACAACCCTAAAATTACAACAGATAGCACACTCAAGCACAGGCAGGTGAAATAACTTGTCCAAAGTCACAAAGAGAGTACGTGGCAGAGCCAGGATTCAAACCTGGGCAGAAAGAATCTCTAACCTTAACCATGATGCTGTGTAACCTCTTCAAAATATTCAAAATGCTTTCAAGGGAGGCAACTTGCAAACATAGGTAAGTTCCTAGTGTAGGCATTTAACACACCAGGCTCAATTAGACATGAAGATGGTTACCCTACATGAAGAGCCCGTTGCCCCAGATGCAATCCTGTTTCCCCTGCACATCAATCCCTTGCAAGTAACAATGGCCACAAGAATTTCCACCTGTATAGATGTAGGTGTGAACAAACTAACTCCATCTCTGTGTCCCGGATTCAATTTCATTTTTTTGTTTCATGTGACCTTTGACCAACCTCACTGTCCTTAGTAAAGCATATCAAAGATTGATGACTATCTGTGCTCCTTAAGATGTAGCCATACATATTTTCATTAGTAAGAGCCAGAGTGGCATTGAAATGGGGCAGAAACAGAATGTTGGGGAACCAGCTAGTATTGTAAGAAATAGTAACCATGCTCTGTTAACCATGATTGTTTTATTCTGATTAAAGAAGGCACATTCCACCCTGGCTGGACCTGACCTGGAGATGCAATCCTTCCTCCCCATTTGGAGCTGCCTATTATCAAAAAAAGATTAGCAAACATTTGTTACAGAAACCAGAATTGCCAGCCCTTTGAAGATCCTCAGCCCTTTTTGCATACCTGCAGGCCTTTGCAAATCTCCAGCCTGCTTACCTGTTAATTTTGGCACTCCCTTCGGCTATTTCCCCTTGTAACTCCAGCCCTTGCACATCACTAAACCCTTTGAAGACCCCTAGTCCTTTTGCATATCTGTAAACTACCCTTTTGCCCACTTTCCTTTGTACTTATGCCTATATAAGCAGCTGACTTATGGTGGGCTGCAGAGAAGATTTTTGTGGATAACCTGCTGCTCTCCCATGCTGCCGGCAATATAGGAATAAACGCTCAGATATGATTCAACCCTGTCTCTGCTTAATTGGCTCAAGTAGTGACAGGCAGCACGGACTCATTACTTGTCCAGTTACAGCATGACAACTGGGATAAATAACAAAACTGATGATAGTACCTATAATAATAAAAGGGCTAATAAATATGCTAATTAGACTGGACCAGGAGTCCTTCCTGATGAAGCCAAGGCAGAGGGAAGCCAGCCCCAGTCTGGGTACCTGCGGGCAGCCACAGGAAAGCCAGTCTGGGTCCTGAGTGACTGCTGATGGCTGGAGGAGGGAAGCCCAGGTCCCAGGTGCTGGAGGGAAGCCGGTGCCGGCAGCTGGGGGAAGGCCTACTCTTGCACAAATTTTCATGCATCAGGCCTCTAATCAATTATAAACAATCACCTATCATAAGACCACCAGGAAGGACGGCCCCTGGTATTACTGCATTCTTTGCCCCTTTGTCTTGTCAATCATTAGAGTTATACTATCAAAAAACTATTGTAGGCTCTTTCCAACTTGCCAGGCACGATGGCTCCTGCAAAGAAGGGTGGCGAGGAGAAGAACCAAAATGGCGGCCTAAGTAAACACCTGTACTTGTTGCCTCTCACAACCACATCAAAATTACAACTAAAAGACAGAACAACTACCACCCAGAACTG